GGCAAAGGATCTGAATACTTATGCCAATGTGATAGTTCAGTTTTTCCTTTTTAATAAATTTACAGACATTTCTAAAATTCTGTTTTCACTTTGTCATTATGCAGTACTGAGTGTAGATTAATGAGGAAAAAAATGAATTTGAATGATTATAGTATCAGGCTGCAACGTAACAAAATTGAAAAAAGTGAAGGGGGTCTGAATACTTTCCGAATGCACTGTATGTTTGTTGACAGCCATCGCAGAATATGTGTAGCTGTCCATCTAGTAAATGGACCTGAGACTGAGTGTGTGCATCATCATGTCATACAGATTATGCTATTAAAGGGCATGGCAACATTTTTTTCAATTGGCAGATGCTACACTCACTTTGAAAGCAATCAGGGTCTGCTTGGTCAGAGTTCACATGGTGGTTCCCTATAAGAGAAAACCTGAAAGAAGTTCAGCCATTGAGGTTGTTCCTTGTGTTATCTCTACTAATCTCCCTTATAAGCAGGAAGGAAAATATAAAAAATGTGAAAGAGCACTGGAAGCTGAAACTGTTAAACTAAACAGCCAAAATCCCTTGTCTGTTACAAGCTAACCAAACTCTTGGTATCTGCTAGGTTCTCTGCATAAGTTGTTCATTGTATAACCCAGACTCCTTTGGTCCTTTAATTATATCATCATTTTATTCCCACCTATCGTTTCTTCTTTTAAAAATGTAGCATAAGAGACCTAGGATCTGAAGTATTTGAAAATTAAATGTTAATGTAGTATTAAATTAGAATATTAAAGCAGTTCATTTTTTGTTCTTTTTGTTCTCTGTAATACTGTATCTGAAATTTTTTTACAAATTTTATCTTGAAAATTAGTTTATTCATTATGTTTAATTTTAGGAAACAGTGCTCTTGCAGAACGTTCTGAAAATGTGCATATTTCAGGAAGCTCAACTGGTAAGTCTCTTTTTTTTTGTAATGTTTAAATTTCATGCATGACTTAAATAGTAAATATTGAAAGCCACCTGGTATCTTATGAAGAGATATTTGGCTATAAAAATTATTACTGCCTTTTCCAGCATGTAATAAGGAATGAAGCAACTGGAACATGGAAAAAAAATTCATAAGATAAATTTGATACCACTACCATGGTCACGAACAGATTATTCTCTGTTTAATTATTTTTCCATAGAAACATTTAAAAGAAAAGTTGGCTAACTTGATTTCTTATATCAAAGTTTTGTGAAATTAAATGTTCTCAGTCGTATGTATTATACATCTTAAAACATAATGAAACATCTGAAGATGCTGTTCATTTGACTGCACTTCTCTCTACTCTACAGAGAAATTGGGTGAGGTCCTTAAGGTTTGTTCTACTCCTTTGTAGCTCAGAAGAAAAAAATATGAGGAGATCCTGAAAGCATTGCTTAGAGGTGCTTGGTTGTGTTATTCTGAGCATGTGTGTGTGTGTTTAAATGGCAAAAGCCATTCAGGCTTCTTGCATCCTAAAGAGCAAAATTAGTAAAGTAATTTAAAAGAGCAATAATAATAAACATTCCTATTTCGCACTTAAACAATTGAATGAAAACAAGAATTGCCCAATAAAACACAGCGAAGAAAAAGAAAAAAATAGCGTATTCAGAGATCTTTTGAAAACCTATAATGATTGGCTTCAGGTGGGAAACTGTTGTACAGCTATGCAATGACTATAGAAAAGGCCATCTCCCAGTACTTGGTACTTTGATTGCCTCAGATCTAGACAAGCAAGAAGGGCCTCCGCTATCAAACTTAAAACACAAGCGGAGTATAAGCAGGGTGAAAGCAGCGGTTGAAATAATTTGTTTTAAAGCCAATCAGTACAGGTTTTCAAGAAAATTTTGAATGCACATCCATTTTCTTTGACCTTTTCTTGCTTGTTTGCCTCCTAGATAAATAGCATAGTCATCTGCAGCTCCAGCTGGTTTTGTCCAAACAACAAAAGCAGAATCGGAGATGGATAGGGATGTACAAAGGGGGCAGGGCTTGTGACAACATCGTGTTGTGTTTGTCAGATTGACTGGTTTGACCCCACCCCATACACCACTTGCACAGATGCAGCTGATAGGGAGGAATTGCTTAATGTTTTAAAGGCTAAAATCAGCCCTTGGAAATGCACTGGTAAAGATATTGCTGTATCTAACATATCCAAGCATAGTTGGGTTGTTATGAATAGAATCTGAAGAGTAGTCTTGTATAGGGAATTATTTCACCTAAAATCTGACTAGAGAGCCAGGTTAGTGTAGTGGTTAAGGCACCAGGCTAGAAACCAGGAGACTGAGTTCTAGTCCTGCCTTAGGCATGAAAGTCAGCTGGGTGACTTTGGGCCAGTCACTCTCTCTCAGCTCTAGGAAGAAGAAGGCAATGGCAAACCACTTCTGAAAAACTTTGCCAAGAAAACAGTAGGGACTTGTCCAGGCAGTCACCAGGAGTCAAAAACTGACTCAAAGGCACAAAAACAAACAAATTCTAACTATTATATATAAGAAGTGAGATACTGATGCACTTAAAAAAAACTTGGGGTTTGTAGCAATGCAGGTGTCCTTAAAAGAAAATATAAATAAATGGAGGATACAGCAAAAACAATTATGCAAGGACATGCCTGGACATCAGATAGGAAGAAGTAACACACATCTTCGAGAGGAAATGGAGTGGCGGGTGCTAGAAAAGGGTAGATGAGTGACTGTCCCTTTAATCACAAACTTTCTACATTGAAACTTTGTATGTGTATCCATAAATATAATAATAATAATTAATAATACTTTATATTATGTCATCCAACTGCCAGCAACTCTGTAAAGATTTTAAATATATAAATGTCTGCAAATAGTTTTCTCAGTAAGGTAATTGGACAATGTTGATTTTTTTTAAATATAGTAAAATGGGACACTGTAAGATGACTAATTGAATTTCAAGGAAGTATGATAATTTTTTAAACCTCTTTTACTTTTCTAAACAAAGAATGCAGTGGCATGGTAAATCACTTACATAGGAAACAATAATAAAACACATCTTCTTAGCTGATTTTATACAAATTAGGTAAAAGGTAGCAATTATGGTGATAAAGGAGGAAGCTATGGGCTTGTTCCAAATTCCCATCATTTCCTGAAATTGAACCATTTCACTTTTGATTTTGTCAGAACCTGGAACACTTGAAGCATTTTTGAGTTTTGTACTCAGAAAGTTCCAACAAAATGTTTCAAGTCAAGCTATTTTGTTCTCAGAACAAAACATATTTTGTGTTTCTTGCAGATCAGTAATTGGAATTAAAAAGACCTAATAAAATTTCCTGGTTAAATGCTAGAGGGAACAATCCTAGAGCTACGTTTTCTATACCCTGACCATTTTTTGAGATAGTGAGCAAGCTTGGGAAAAATTATATCATTTTTTAAAACACATAAACTCTTAGCTTTCTTTGCTTCAGAATCACTCTCAAATCTTCCAGCTGACCCAGATTCATTCATTCATTCATTCATCCATCCATTCATTCATTCATTCATTCATTCATTCAGATGAATCTCTTCAAAACAGTTCTTTTTAGTTCTGGAATTAAAATTCCTTCAAACTAAATGTACACTTCTAGTTTAAAACAAAAATGTACTTTATTAATTGAATGTATTCAGTGTTCAGTGTTCAGTATTCACTGAATAATTTCTTTTGACACTTTTAAATTGCCAGGCATGTTATATGACTGAAAATCATCAAGATTCTACAGAATTTAAGAGTAGACTATCCTAACTTTGTAAGGCTCTTATCTTTTTTTCTGGTAATCTTACATTTTAATTGATATAGCTGGTATTAGCCTCTGCCGTAAGCATTGTGCCACCAACCCTTCCCATAAGTAATATGGAGATAGTAATACTGACTTAACCCACAAAGTTGTGAAAGTTAACTGAGTGAGCATATGCTAAAGGCATTAACAATCTGAAATCCCAGATAAATCATCTGGGAATTGGGAATACTGGAGCCACTATTTAAATATTCTGGGCTTTAATTTTAATACAGGTAGTCCTCGCTTAACGACCACAACAGGGACTGGAAAATTGGTTGTTAAACAGGGCAGTCATTAAGTGAGTCACCAGGTGACTGGACCCAATATTACGACCATTTTTACAATGGTTGTAAACAAATCACTAGTTGTTAAAGCAAATCACATCATTAAGCAAATCATGTCATTAAGCGAATCCAGCTTCCCCAATGGCCTTTTTTGCCAGAATTCACTTAACGGCCATGTGATTAGCTTAATGATTGTGGGGATTTGCTTAACAACTGTTGTAAAAAAGGTTGCAAATCGCAATCACGTGACTGCAGGGGATGGTGCAATGGTTTGCAACAGTCATAAGTGTGAGTACAGGTCATAAAGCACTTTTTCCAAGGCCACTGTAACCGAACTGTCATTAAAGGAACAATCGTTAAGCGAGGACTATCTGTAAAGATAGAAAGGCGATCCTATAAGTGTTTTGCAAATATTATTCAAAACAAATAAAGAACAGCCATTAATAGGAAAGTCCAGAATGTATTTTTTCTTTGTCTTTTTCTTTCTAACAAAAGTATGAGCCAGGCAAAACAGTATGTTAAAGAACTAAAAATGGATCAGTGTCGTTGCTTGAAAGTACTATAACTGACTTCCGGGGAACCAATTTTCAAGATATGAAAGTTTTAAAGACTGAATGGAACAAGGAATTGGAGATCCCCATTTTGTCAAACAATGGGAAACTGTCTCAATGCCTGTATCAAAAAATGCTGTAGATCTTAGTCTATAGCATATTCAACAACAAAATATTAATAAGATTTCTGAGTTATTTGGATTCCATTGCACTTGTATGGAAAAAGAATGAGTAGTTCATGTTGCTGGAGATGCAATGAAAATAATACTAAATTAAAATATGTTTTAGTGTCCTACAATTATTATATTCTGGAGAAAATTCAATAGACATATTAATTTGACATTGAGACAGGGTTTAATATTTTCAGACTCCATATTCTTTTGAACTACAAAGCTAATACATGGAAATTGGCAGATGGACAATCAAAATGAATTCTCTGTGTCCTTCCTATCTCTAAGAGACTTGTCTTTCAACATTGGAAAGACATATTTATGGCCCCAGTTGCTCACTGGATTGAAGATCTGATACTACTTGTGACGTATGAACAACTTACTTACCTATGTACATTATGTATGGATTGTTTTAATGAAATATAATCATCCTTTATTGACATTAAATAGAGTACTTATATGCATTTATACATGCGTGAGAAACTCTCATGTATATATAATAATTTATTGTTGTTTTGCTTTCTTTCCCCCTTTTTCATCTTTGTGTTCTATTTAGTTAAGAAAATAATGGCATATATATGCCTTTTTAAATTACTATAAAGTGCTGACATTTCATCCAAATCTGATTTTTTTTTTAATTTTAGCTTGTATGTATGTTACAGCAAGGGTTTTGCATTTTTATTTGTATGTAAATCCAAAATGACCATGTAAATATTTATGAGTTTTATTCAGTAGTGATAATAGTGGAAGGTCCCCACCAGGGGACAAAAATGGTATTTTTTGGTGTCTTTCTTCCTCCCTGTGGCATTCTGCAACCCATTCTCAAATCTCTGCTCCTGGTGGCTTCACATTCTGTATAACAGATTTGGAGATACGTGTTTGGCCTCAGGTGGCAGGATGGTCTCCTAGAAGGACCATTACTGGGTGCGGCTCCAAACGTTCTTCCATTTACGCTTAAGTAACAGAATGCAGGGATACCTTACAACCAGTAACATCAACTTTACATTTTTTCCAGGTTGTGGAGACATTCCAGAACAAATTAGAGGGCCAAGTGGGATAATCACAAGCCCAGGCTGGCCTCTTGAATATCCTGCTAGATTGAATTGTAGCTGGTACATCCAGGCAAACCCAGGAGAAATTATTACAATAAGGTAACTTGGGGATTTTATGAATATAATGTGAAAAGTATAAATTAAACTTGTTTGTGTTAAATGGTTCTCTACTGAACATTAAAAACTTACAACTGTTTTGATTAATTGCTTTTATCTTCAAATTTGTTGGTACTTCTTGATTATAAAAAAAAATCCTTATACAGTATTAAACTCTCAGATACAGAGCATTCCATTGTTAGGACAGAATGTCAAATCCTAACGCAAAAATGAAGTCCAGTAGTATTTTCCATAATTTCACATATTGGATTCTGTAGCAGAGTTTATTAAGTCAGGAAGTAAATACTTATGAGTTTAACATTTTGAAAAAGGTCAGGTAAAACTGCTCATTAACCATGTACTTATTTTGCTTTTTCTCCATGTCCTATCACAGCTTTGTTTTGAAAGCAGTTTGCTTTGAGGCAAGGAGTCTATTTGCTGAAAGTAACAAAATCTTTTGAGTAACTACTTCACTAGGCAAAAATATCTTCCTTATGCTAAAGATATTTTCCATTCTTGGATATGCTCATTCCTATTTCTTATTGTAACATTGTATAAGTTGCTGAGGAGGGATGTGACAGGTTTTCAAAAATTCCAAAATAGACCAAAAGTGAAACAAAACTGAAAAGTATTTCCATTTCAGCTACCTTTTGCTCAAGAAAAACTATACAATTTGCTGTGGTTCTTATAGTAGGATATCCAGTGTCTGACATGGATATGTCAGATTGCTTGCCTAGGATGGATAAAAGATAGAAAGGACTTTTCTGTCTGATATGTCCTGTCTTTAGTGATGAGTTAATTTCCCTCAATAGGTCTGTATTGAATTAAACCAGAGAAGTGGAATAACCCACATTTTCATGATGGAAGAAAAAACTCATGCAGATGATCTTTAGGTATTACTAGACAACCTGTGACCCATGGGGTCCGCATTTCAGAGATATTTCTTTACCTAAACAGAGAAACAGAATGACCACAGGCGGGCAAAAAAGCAATGGGAGCGGGAGCAACTTCCAACTTCTTACTGGCTTCCCCATTGACTTTCCTCGTGCGAAGCTGGCAGGAAGGATCAGAAATCACCCTTCTTCCCTCCCTCCCTCCCTGTTCCTTCCTCCCTCCCTCCTTCCCCCTTCCTCCCTTCCTTCATTTCTTCCTTCCTTCCTCCCTCCTTCTTCCTTCCTTTCTTCCCTCCCTCCCTCCC